TTACTAATTCCCCATTCAAGATTGTTATTCCCCATTCAAGATTGTTATTCTACCTCACGAAGTAGGAGATGCTACAAAAGTTTTGTGCAGCGGACCAGGGTTGAATCAGGGAAAAACTCATGCGGATAATATTTTCACAGTTGATACTCGAAATGCGGGATATGGAGGACTTGCCTTGTCTATTGAAGGCCCAAGCAAAGTGTTGATCCAGTGTAATGATCAACCTGATGGAACGGTGCGTCTTTCTTATAAACCAACTGAACCCGGTTACTATGTGTTGAATTTGAAGTACGCTGATCACCATGTTACTGGATCTCCGTTTGCTGTAAAGGTTAGTAGAAAAGATATTTAATAATTATAAAAGAAACATGTTCTAATACATATAATTAGTTGAAACACATGTTTCTTTTAGTATTCCATAAATGTAGAAAAAAACATATAAATCTTATTATTTTCAGGTGAGCGGCGATGGTTCAAACAGACAGCGTGAGAAGATGCAAAAGCACCGCGAACCTGTGCGAGCAGCAGATCCTGGCCAACCCTGCAAACTGACCTTCAAAATGTCAGGTGCCACATAATATAAAATATTGCTCCTGCTATAAAAAATCCACGATATGCGTGGCGAGCATTTATTTCTGGACGGAATGTGTAATTTGCCGAAATTTATAACTGCTCATATGCGACCGCAACATTACTTCATCCGCGGAGAACGTTTCGAGTCCCTCTCAATCGCGATGATAAATTAGATTAGGCGTGACTCTTTTCTAAACCAAATTCGTTTCTAGCCTCAATCGTAGCTTGAAATAACGAGCATACCTGGGTGAAAATACGTATTTAACAGCTCCTATGTTAACAACATTAGTTGAAAAAATAATTTGACTATATTGTCTGGATTAAAATTAAATATTTCAAAGTGATCATATATTTCTGAATTGTTTCAATGCGAAGTGATAATAAAATTATTTTTATAAGTTTTATAAATGAGTAGAATAATAAATATCAAATTAGGTTTTAATTCAACTTTGTTTATTATCTTATTATTTTATTTAGGTATTAGTACCTTTGATCTTGCTGCTACGGTTAAGGAACAGGACGGGGTTGCCGAAGATGCCGAAGTTACTGAAGAGGAAGATGGGGTATACGCCGTTAACTTTGTACCCCAAAAACAAGCATTGTATATTATATCAGTCAAGCATAAAGACATTCATATCTCAGGTAAGGCCGCACAAATTAACTAAGTAATACAATTACAATAAGTAAATGTTTAACTTAGGAAACCCTCCAATAATAATGATGTTTTATGTATCTGTAGTATTACGCGTACAAACTTTTGAGACTAAAGTTTACTTAACACATTTGTTAAAATACATATTGTATGAATTATAGATTTACTAGGTTTATTTATTTTCTATAACTCTTGAGTGACGCAATTTTTTTTTTAATAAGAAAAGGAATAATTTCCTACGGTTCCGGGATGTGATTTTCAAAAACAATCGAAAATTTTACAATTTTTTCTCGTAACTAAATTTACACGTGATGTTTGGAGGGGGGGTAATTTTGAATATCACCACGAATCACCAAAGGAGAGGGAGAGTCCAAAAATTCTTAAAAAAATCGATCATATGATTAATGGACGACCCTGCATAAGAATATTCCTACAATCTAATAAGAATCAAGTTAGAATACAATATGATTTTTATAAGAACACAACAAGATTCCGGGAAGAAACATGTAAAATTATTGTGGTTAAATCTGATAAGATTTCGGTCTTCTAATATCCCGGCTAGAATCTAAGAAGATTCTCATAAATTTTGAATAAGAATATATAAAGTTCTCATCAGATTCTTACCAAAAATCCTATTCGGTTATTATATGATACCTATAATATTCTTGTCAATGAATCGTATACATATTAAAAGGGCACAGCTAGTGTGAAATTTTCAAAAAATCGAATTTTCAATTTTTCCATATTTCGATAGGTTATACCTTTAAAATAACATACCCAAATTTTATATCGATGTCTTAAATATTCTTTGAGTTATAGCCATTTAAGGAGTATATATATAGTATATAGTATAACGATCATTTTATCTTCAAACGCGTTTTTCTCGAAACAGCATTTTCCGAATTTGCTGCAGCGATTACTCAAAAACAAATGATCCGAACACTATCGAATTTTTTTTTACATGTTCTATATATAGTTCTCCGTAAAATGAACTATCGATTTTTTGATCGGATCAAAAATCGAATTTTGGCAGCCCAAAAACAACCAAAATTTTGAGTAAAATTCCACTTTTTTTAAAAAAAACGCCGTCATTTTGTCAATTTTTGATTTTTTTTTCTTTATAGTAGTTCATTTTACAGACAATATTATCTAGTTTAACGTGAATTTTTTTTTTTAATTTCATCCACGTAGAAGGCCGGAATCACTGCAGCAGTGAAGGGCCTTTTTTTGTCGCGCCGTTGGAGATCGACGATAACTTAAGAAATATTTAATTTTTTTCTTCAAAAATTTTACTATGTTTTCTTGAAACATGTATAAATATGTTCCTAAAATTTTGAAATAATTGATAAAGTAGTTTTTCTAATATAAATTTCCAAAAATCACCTTTTTTAGGCGGTTACACTAGTTGTGCCGCTTAAACACATTACATCCTCATTGGATTCTTATTACATTTGTGCTAGTTTTTTTATAAGATTGTTATAAAGTCTTTAATAGCTTCTTATTAACTTTCCGTAAAGTAAGTTATAGTAATCGCAAAAAAAACGAAAATGCAAATTTTCATTTATTTAATTTTTGGTACGGCCACACGCCACTAGTTGAATTTTATTTGAATTGAATTTAGATTCATAGTTTTTATTTTTTTAGGATCACCATTCCCATACACGGTGGGTCCGTTGACAGACTCCGGTGCTCACCTTGTGAAAGCAGGAGGTGCGGGTCTCCAACGCGGAGAACAGGGCCACCCAGCCGAAGTAAATGTGTGGACGCGCGAGGCTGGAGGGGGTGCTCTCGCAGTGGCCGTTGAGGGACCATCCAAGGCGGTCATCGACTTCAAAGATCGTAAAGATGGCTCTTGTCACTTCTTGTACACTGTTACTGAACCGGGTAAGAAATAATAATATCTACTTCTGTTATACTAGTAGATGTTATAATTAGTAATTTATTATTTATAAGAATATGTTCTTAATGTTATTGACATTTTTGCAAATGTTTATAAAAGAACTTTTATTATAAACGGTTGATATATTTGTGCTTTTTTATGTATATAAATTGCATATTGATGCATATATATTAATCTCAAATTCTAAACTAAAAGATTTCCTCTTTATTTCATTTTTTAGAAATTTTAGTATATTCTTTAGTCTATATCTACATCTTCTCATATGAATTGTTGACTAATGGGTCTATTCAAGGATAGCATGACTAACGGGTGGTCCATCTAGTGGTCCTAGTGATCTAGTGATCTTACGGTTTAGATATTTCTGTAAAGAAAACATATAAAGAATTACACATCGTTAGAAAGGTCTCAAAATTCTTAGTTTTTTCCATATATCGCAACTTCGAATTCCGCACGGTGTGGCCTGCAGGCAAGTTGCTATCGATAATTTCCAATTTTTAAATGGGCCACCCTATATATTATGTTATTACTTTTCTGTAACTTTAAATTAAATGTGTAATGTATGTTTGGTATTCGTTACACCTATTTTATATTGACAAATCATTTTGCTTCATATCGGCACTCAATATATCGGTCTCAATATAAACGTTACCTATGGTGTTTAACGAGCGTATATTTAAATTTATGATCCAATCACAAACTGTGAACAAACCTTCAAATAGCACAAATGCCAAAATAACATTATTTCGACTTCACGCATATTTTATTTATAAGTGCAACGCTTTAGTATCTATTATTGAGAATTGCTGAATGTTATTTATTTAGTTCGATATGGAATAAAACAGGTCACCAAGAATAGCTATCACTCTTACAGTAACATGTTGAACGAAATAAGTGGGATCTTACTGTAAGATATTTTTTCGAGAATTGGCCCATTAGTTTACATACATTGATTTGATATACCACATTTTAAATATAAATGTTATAACTTTTTTATGTAGATAAACTGCATAAAAGTTGCAAGTTTTATATATTTTTGGTTTTTACGAAGTAGAAAGTGTGTTTTTCTTTATCATATATTATTTATACCTTTGTTTTCTTGATTTCTTAAAACGATTTTTTTACAATTCAATTTCAACATTGCTTTATGAATATTTTTAGGGGCAAATTCTCTTCAAACCAGAAATGTTACCGTCTTTATTCGTATGAGTTGGTAGTCACAAATTTTCAAAAATATATGTGATTTTGGTGCGATCAGACGTTTTACCCCTAAAACCTAATTTTGGGCATGTGTTATCCAAGAGAAAAATAAGACTAGTGATATATGGCATCGTGCCTTAATGCAAATTGCTGGAACTTTCAGTACCAAAAATTAGAATTTTTAAAAAAGATTCAATTTTTTTTTAGAACTCTAAAACAAATAGATTTTTGAGACTTTTAAAATTTTTGAAAACATTTAAAATATTTTGAACTTTTTAACTTCTCGTAGGGCAAGTTATAGTAATCGCAAAACAATCAAAAATGAAAATTTTTATATATCTTTACGTTTCAAAGGTTTTATAATATTTTGGCATACCTTACAAAAAATGGATGAATGTGTGTGTGTATGTGTGTGTGTGCGTGTGTGTATGTGTGTGCGAATATAAATTTTTATCGACGATTTCGGGAACACCGATCAACCGATTTGAATAATTCAAAAAACATTCGATTCGTATTGATAAGGAGACGTGATGATTAGTTTTTGGTAAAGGCAGGTCTATCCGTTCCGAAGATACGGGGCAAAAAGTGCCAAGAATGGTAACTCAGTTTTTAAGAGAACGGAGCGTCCGATTTTAATAATTCAAAAATTATTTTACTTGTATTGACAAGATGAAGAATTGATCAAATTTTCATGAAGGCAGATCTAGCGGTTTCGGAGATCTAATGAAAAAAGTTAAAAAAATGCCATTTGGCGGTCAAAAATGATCTTTTGACATATGCACATCAAATTATCAGATATTTTATAGAGATTTTAACAATAAGCATATTTTTTTACATTTCTATGGGTTCGGTACCAATGCTTATCCGTTAGACGGCGGCGCGGCACTTACGCGCTTTGACATTTCGCCTCTATGCAGTTAAAGCAGTACGATTGCTTTGAAAAAAGTTCAGAATTTCCAAAATATGTCAAAATGTTTTGTTTTCAAGAAAAAAAAATTTTTTTTTAAAAAAAAGTAATTTTCTGTCAAATTTATAGTTTCTCAAAAATCTGATTTTTCCGAAGTAAATTTTTTTCAAAGATGTTAATCGTTTTTAAAAAAATAATCTTTTTGGTACGGGAAGTTCCAGCAATTTGCCTTAAAGCACAACGCCATGTGCCGCACACACACATACATCCATTTTTTCTAAGGTATGCCAAAATGTTCAGAAGATCTTAAAACGTAAAGATATGCAATTTTTTTCATTTTCGATTTTTTGCGATTACTATAACTTACCCTACGGGGAGTTCATAAAATTGTTATTTGACATTTGTCATTTGTTATTTGTCATTTGTGTGTTTTAGAGGTTAGGTTTTATGTGAAAAACGCCTGATCGCTAATACATGGCTTTTTGACTTTCTGACAGTATGTGACTACCAACTCATGCAAATATAAAACCGTAACATAGAATTGCCATAATATTTCTAATTTGTCCAAGAATTGGCTTATCTGACATGCACGTTGCAACTGACCATTTCCACAACGCAATGACCTAGTGAAGGGCGTCTAGACTTAGAGTTAACATATGCGCATTTTATAAATCCACAGGTGAATACCGAATCGGTATCAAGTTCAACGATCAGTACATACCGGATGCCCCGTACAACGTGATAGTGTACCCCACTGGAGGAGATGCACAGAAGCTCGAGATTGCACAGTTCCCCAAAGGCATCGTTCCGACTGATAAACCGGCTCAATTTATTATTCGGCGCAACGGCACCACGAAAGGACAATTGGACGCGAGGGTACGAAAAGTTCACGATATTATTTTGACTTCTCCGCTTTATATCTAAGAGACGCCAGCTTTTGCTTAATTTAATTGTCGCATTTGCGAAAATTTTAATTGATGGATTATGTATACTAAACCTTATGGTCACATGTGCAATGAATTTTGAATTAATTTATATAATTGATATTAATGTGTTTAAAGCTACTATTCATACTACAGTAACTTTTTTCTACTCACATTAATTATTTCTAATATAGCATCTAAAACCAACAGTTACCACATCGGTTTAATATTGTAATTTATACATAAAAATTAAGGTGGTTCTTAATATGGATATTTTTGCTACCAGAGGCTCAAAAGCTTCCAAATTGACCAAAAAAAAAATTCTGAAAGTTTTAGCTCCTAATATTTACTTTAAGATAGTCCGCACTCCAACCAAAGTTTCTTATGAACAATTGAACGCGAGGGTGCGAAATGTTCACGATATTATTTTGACTTCTCCGCTTTATATCTAAAAGACGCCAGCTTTTGCTTAATTTAATTGTCGCATTTGCGAAAATTTTAATTGATGAATTACGTATACTAAACTTTATTATTTATATTAAACTTTATGGTCACATGTGCAATGAATTTTGAATTAATTTATATAATTGATATAAATGTGTTTAAAGCTACTATTCCTACTACAATTTTTTTGTAGGCTTAATCAATTGATATCTATTAGGTATAACTAACAAACGAACGACATGATTAGCTAATTTATATAATACTTTATATCTGTATTAGTTTTAGCTAAGGTGACCATATTTTTTTGCATGAAATCCGGGACGAACTAGAATGTGTGTGAGAGCGGGGGGGAGGGGGTGTTGGTGAGCTAAAAACTTATATGCACATTGTTTCGGTTCCAATTTTCTAGTTTAAATATATTTTAAAAAAATATCGGCAATCAAACTATTTTTAAATTCCGGGACAAAACACTTAAAACCGGGACAAATATTGCTTTTAGAAAAAAACGGGATGCAAGGTGGAAAATCGGGACTATCCCAGACAATCCGAGACGTATGGTCACCTTAGTTTTAACGCATTAGTTTTTGTTACATTAATCAGTATATTTTAAAATTACAATTGATAACATCAAATTAATTGGAGTATTTTAAATGTATATTAATTTTTATATTTTATAATTTAAAAAACAAATTAAATTAACAAATTAATTAAAAATCATTATTAATTAAAATTAATTACAAATTAGTGGCTGAACTGCGGCAAGTTACATGAATGTACCGGTATATGTAAATTTAACCAAGAATTGTAAGTAAATAATAAGATTTTTACAGTATTCAGATTTAGTAAATTTCCGAATTGTAGCGATACAATTATGGAACATTTGCGTTGTCCATTATTCATTTTTTCATTTTATTTATGTCTTTTATACATAGCCCACAGAATAGTTCCAAGAGCTTTTAAAAATACTAAAAATAAGATAATATAGTTGCTACAGATATAATACAAAATAGTATAACATATAATGTATCAATTTCATGAACTAACATAAAATAAAATCATATACTAAAACATATTCAGGGAGAAATATAAAGATTAAGTGGAGGAGATGGAGAATATTTGGCTTAGACAAGTGTTGTGAATATCAATATTATTATTGAGTTAAAGTTAGAGGACATTAGTATAATAGGGAAATTTAACAGAAAATTAATTTAGAAATAGGATAATTAAAAAAATTATTGTGTTTGTGAAGATAATCCAGGAACGTTAAATAATAGTTGGTTAAAAATTTGAAGGCAGTCTATAGCATTATCACAAAGTTTATATAGGAACAAAATACTATTTATAAAACAACATGTGGCAAGATTTCATTTGCTGAATTCATTAAGCAAAGTGTTGTGGTTGATGCCACATTCATCATATACTATATAAGACTCTCAAAGAACATAGAATTTGGATTCTTTACAATAGAACTATTTACAACTACTCGATCAAAAGAAAATGAGAAAAATTCTCAACGCTGTACTGCATATAACAATGCATTGCTTTATTGAAATATAGATATATAGAGTATATCTAGAATATCGGAAAAGATTTCAAAAATTAATGAAATTCCGATGATCGTAATTATTTTTATAAATGACAATCAAGATTTCCATTCAAGGGGTTAATAACATCACGTGGATCAAACATTCGTCTTAACAGTTTAGGAAATAATTTTTTTTGAAACTTATGTAATGAAATTTGAAATGCATTGATAATTGAATGTACTCATAATTAGTCATATAATTAATAATCGTTTTATTTAATACGACTTAATTATACTAAATTACTCATAAGTTCAACATGGTCTGTACCTACGTTGCAACCGACTGATGCAAACTAATTGCACCACAAAGAACGGTATATATTATAACTTTAGTTATAAATTAAACTCCAGAACTAAAGTTCAAAATTCAAACATGTCCTTATTATGTAAATAATGCTATTCTTATGTTCCTCTTGTCACACTACATTGTTACTTACAGCTCCTTGCTCCGTCTGGAAAGGAATACGACTGTTTCACCCAATTAGTCGACGAGGAGCAGTACTCGGTGCGTCTGTTTCCCCGTGAGACCGGCATTCATAATATTATGGTCAAATTCAACGGAATTCATATTCCAGGATCACCTTATCTTCTGAAAGTGGGCAATGAGGACGTAGACCCTGCTGCAATTTCGGCTAGCGGTGAGTGAACATAAAAATGAGAATTAGGTGGTGGAGTCAAATGATATATGCTATTATCATCATTCATTGTCAGTTTATTTATTAAGATGGTATTCTAGTGTAGAGACATGAATTTTAGGTCATGTTAAAAAGAGGCACTAGCATTTTTTCTATAATTTATTTATCAAAACAAAAAAAAGTTATTAATTTTGAAAACTAGCAGTTGCTGAAGTCAGGGACCCAAAAAACTTGATACGTGATCATGCCTACGATTGTAGCCCTCCTAGTAATCCACAAAAAAACGGATTACTAATCTAGAATGTTGTCGCTATGGTATATACAATGGATTTTTTTTTGACAAAATGGCGACTGTTTGAAAAAACAGGTTGTTTTTTAACCACTTTTTTGAGCTTCTATAAAAAAGATTATCCGAAAATTTCAAGTAAATCGGTTCAGAACTCTAGGAATCAGTAGGCATCGAATTGATAAAAACGGTTTTGAGAAAAACGCGTTTAAAGTTTTGCAATGGGAAGGAAACATAAGAAGATTACCATGGTCAAACATCTGTATCTCGTATCTCCAAAAACAATTTAAATTTAAAAAAAAATTCTTGTATACATATTTTTAAATAGTTTAACTTTGAAAATATGATACAAAAAAAACGATTTTTTTTAATTTTTACACTAGTATACCCCCTTAAACGCAAGAACTTAAAAAGCTGTGGAACCAAAATTTTTGTATGATTTTCTACTCACCTTTTACAAATGAAAATTACAAAAAGTTGTGATTGGGCGAGGCGAATTGATGTTACCCGAAAGTTACTGAAAATAGCCCATTATAGAGATACGTTTCACGTATTATTATTGTAGGACCGAGTGAAACAAATTTGATTATTTCGTGATTTCATTTTGTATATCTGAACAAATTCAAAATTAAATATTTTACGTTGAAAGTGCAGAAAATTCGAAATGCATTTCTGAATTTATATTTTGCATTTTTTGGATGAATAATAATAAATTTAGAAGACAGTAACACAGGCACTGAAGAATTGGCAAAAGACAATTATAACCGACAATTAAATCATCATCTTAAAAAAAATATGACAATCTTATTCTTCATTCACATTTCAAATATAAATTTTGCCCATTATTGTTGAACACATTCTCAATCCTAAGAATACGAGGTCTGTTCAAAAAGTACCCGGAATTTTTGTTTTTTCAAAAAAATATTTATTTATTCGTCTACATTAATGTGGTCCCCTTCAAAGTAGTCCCCCCCAGATATAATACACTTATGCCAGCGTTTTTTCCAATTTTCGAAGCACCCTTGATATTCACTTTTTGATATGTCCTTGAGCACTCTCAGCGATTTTCTTCAATCGAGGAAAACCGCCGTCCTTTCATGGGTCTCTTCAGCTTTGGGAATAGGAAAAAGTCACACGGAGCCATATCTCGTGAATTTTTGCACTTTGCAACACTTTATTTCATTTTTTACGCAAAATTTAATACAAATTCTTTGACTTTTCAATTCTTCCATTGTAAAAATCGCCGAGCTCAGAAAAACACGTCGAACCTTAGCGACTACCACAGACAAAGTAAACAGTGAATATAGCTGAAAATTTCATCATACTTTAGGGGCATGTATACCAACACAATAAAAAAAAAATTTTGACAATCAGACACTCCAGACCCGCGAAATTTAATTATTAGTAATTCCGGGTACTTTTTGAACACACCTCGTATGTCATGGATGACTGAATAAAGTCGTTTATTTGGTATTTATATATATTTATTATATATAAAATAATCATAAAAATTCTTTAAAAATTTACTCGTAGAATTCAATTGTTTACTGTATGGACATGTTAACAACTCAATAGTTGTTTTTCCAACATGTCCATATAGTATACAATGCCCCTTTACGGCTGACAATTGTAAATTTCCCAAATTTACTAAATGTCTGTAACTGGACAGTTGTAAAAAATAGAGAATAAAAAAATCACTTGTTAGGCTTAAGATTTTCGTAACCTTACGATTTTTAGTAGACAATATTTATTTTCACTGTCAAATCAAATTGAAATGTTTCATATATTTATTTTTTATTCTGTTGCAAAATTTTGGCTTAAAAAATTTGGAACTATTCATAAAATAAATGTCCATCATCAATATATGATCGAAAAGATATAATCTGCTCACTCTGTTATAGAACGATTATTAAAAATACATTATTTTAAGAATAATAATTATTCTTAATTAATAATAAAAGTTTAGATTTTGTTTGCCTTTTTAGAGTGTCAAAACACTTTTTTTTGCAAAATTAGGTTAGTTTACAAACGTACGTAAAATCTAAAATAAATTTTGGTGAAACTATAGCAAAATAGTATAAAATTTACTACAAGGAATCTAAATTTTCTAGATAACAACTTGACGGGGAATTTATTGATTTGAAAATAATATAAAAACTTTAATTATTGAATACATTAATTAGTTACGTTCAATAATATATATGATGGAAATATTAATCATTAGTATTAGAGTAATCATCTTATTTTTGATGACGACTTGATAACGAGTCTGAATATAAATAAATAAATATTCTAGCTCACTTTTATTTTCATCTGCAGTGCTTCATATAAATAGTCTCAAACTCCCAAAGTCTCTTATTCCGTATCATAATGAGTACGTTGTTTGAAAATTTGAAAACATGAAGTTTGAAAGTTTGAAAACATTAAAAAGTTTCGCTTACGGTTTTGTCATGCTTCCGCAATGTACCTCGAGGGCAATTGCTTAATACTAATAATATCCTTTTGTGTACAAAACATTAGTACACCTGAAGCTTAAAAATTATGCAAAAGTAGATAATGCACTTTTGTTCATTGTTTTGTTTTTTTTTATTACAGGCAAAGGTCTTCATTATGCGAAAACAGGACAAAAATCAGATTTCTTGGTGGATACTTGCGATGTGCCAGCTGGAACTTTGTGGGTAACTTTGGACGGGCCTGGAAGAGCGGCCATCGATTGTTCGGAGGTCGAAGATGGATATAAAGTTCGCTATACGCCTCTGGTTGCTGGAGATTACTACATTTCTGTTAAATATAATCAGTATCATATCATAGGATCGCCCTTCAAACTTCAAGTGGAAGGTAAGACTTAAATTGCAGACGAATAGAAAAAAATCATATAAAAATTCAATAATTAAATTTTTTAATTAATTGGTTTAAGATGTCTATTTATTTAATTCTTTGATAACGCGGTGTGTGTGTCCTGTGCAATATAAGTAGCGTGCTATAAGAAACTCAGAATTAGAACACCTTACAGCATTTGTATGATATTTTGAATTTCTAATAACATTCATTTAATAATGTTTTTGTGTACAAATAAAACTATTTACTACAATTGAATTATTGATTAAATTTAATTGAACATAATCCTAACTTAATCTGTCTATACCCTTTGACATTTGACATTTGACATATAAGCAGGCCTTCATATCCATCTTCATATTCATCATTCCAAATCTCGGATAAAATAGAAATGTTATTGTAATACTATGTTACGGGTCTATATACCTATGAGTTGGTAGTAACAAATTGTCAAAAAGTTATGTATTTGCTATGCGATCAGGCGTTATGCGCATAAAACCTAACCTACAAAACGTCAAACAACAATTTTATTATAAATGCATCTTTTAGCACCTGATTGCATAGCAAATACATAGCTTTTTGACAGTTCGGCACTAACAAATCGTACGAATATAGACCCAAAACATAGCATTACTATAACATTTTTATTTTATCTGAGAATTAGTCCCATTATTAGATTTATAATATTATAATGTCGCAGTACATCAAATAAAGACTTTGAACATTTTTTTAAATTGATCTGAAACTGTTAGTTTTTCAAATAATATGAAATAACAACAAAAATATATTATTGTCGATTACATTTTATTGATTAAATTTAATTAAACATATCTGTCAAAACCACTTGACATTTGACAGATAAGCTGGTCATATTCACATTCATCAGTTCAAACTACGCATTTTCCGCCCTTTGTTGATTTTCGTCAAATTTCAAATGTAAAGTTTCTAAGCCATTTTGAAATAATTTTTCACATTTTCCACGAATATTTCAAGACTAAAACCGGCCAAATCGGTGCAGTCGTTTTCGAGTCTTTGCATACCTTACATAATATTAAGCTTAATTTTCATATAAAGGTGTATATGTGGTGAGAATCACTATAATAAGTTAAACGGACTGCAAATTGTAAATATTCCATCACCATAAGATATGAGTATAAAACCACTATTTAATTTATGATATATATTAATTTTCACTTTACAACCTAATTGTAACAATAGAAAAAAAAAAACTTTACAACCTTTTCCTTTTGTTATTTTTGCTCTCAGTTATTATAAGTTACAGGTATTTATATTCATACATTTATACCCCCTACCCCAAAGGATCCCGGTTTAAATAGAAAAACCCCTGGTCAAATCTTGACCAATATGTGATTGTGTATTTATTATTTTCAGGTGAGAATTTAGCTGAGTTAGGTGCCCAAGAAACTTCTTCAGTGAAAGTGCAGACAGTCCAGAAAATATCAAAAGAAGGCAAAAAACTTTTGCCAAATATGCCTGTATTTAACTCTGATGCCAGTCTTGTAACTAGCAAGGGAATAGGCCTTAAGAAAGCCTACATGGGCAAACAAAATCAATTCCAACTAAATGCAGCTGAAGCAGGTTAGTCACTATTTTCGAACAATTAATTTGTTTTAGTTTATTTATTTGGTTTGTATTACTTATCAAATATTTCTTTTTAGGAAATAACATTCTTCTAGTTTCCGTGTATGGTCCAAAAGGTTTCAACGAAGAAGTATCTATTAAACATACAGGAAAACACCAATATACAGTCAGTTATTTGGTGCGTGAACGTGGCGAATATATTTTGTTTGTAAAATGGGGAGATGATCATATTCCTGGATCGCCGTTTAAAGTGGACGCGTAGACGTCAAATATTAAAAGTTTTATATAGTTTAGAAATTCCTCGGTACAGAACACCCTCATTCCTTTGACCATCCATTGTATCTACTCCTATTTGTGTACTTACCTTGAAAATGCCGTGCAGCTCCCAATATTTCCGAATTATTAATAAGCTAATATTTTAATCACACTTAAAGACTTTTTAAATTTAAATTTATTTTTTTTATTTGGCGATTAATTAATTAGAAATTTAAAATAACAAAAAGTTTATTTTTAAAATCGCAAATAATGGGCGCTCGCTTAACTTAATTTATTTTTTAAACGTTTGTACTAATGCTAGATTTTTTATAGCCAAGTCTGACAAATATGCCTGCTCTTACCTGTTTTGTGAGTTTATTAACAATCGACAACAGTTACTAATATTTTTAACTTTCTGGCGATCCACGGCAGGGTGTGTCCAGGTGAGTGCAATTTATGTTTCTAAATTAGTACATACTATCTAACCTTATTTCCTAACAAAAAACTTTAATAGGACTTTATCAGCCTAACCAAACTTGATTTGTTTAAGCTATTTTTTTACAGTCTTATTGGAATTTGATATTTATCTTATTACAAATTCTGAAAAAATGATCGCAGTCTTTAACATCTTAAATAATTGTAAATAAGTCATAAATTCTCTGTGAAATTTGAAACTCAAACGTTTGCACTGCTCTTGATATTTTAATTGCAACGCTTCTATAAATAATTTTCCTTGTACTCGTTATTAGATGATGAAATTTAAAATTTGTTATCGTGATAGTATTTATAATTTAATTTCTGACGTTTTCAGTAATCAAATTAAATGCATGCGCTTAGAGTATTTTAACACATTTTTTTATTAATTAGACTTGTCCTGTCCATTTATCATTTTTTTTGAAATCCTGCCATAGTTTTAATTTGAATACTATTTTTCTGGATGCGATAAATTTATAAAGCTATTTGTTATATATTAGTTATTTAATTTTAAAATGGTTTATTATAATTATATATTACAGTATAAATAAATTATTTTAAATATTCGTATTTTTTTAACAAACATAAATATAACCCGAAAACGATTTATAGATATTGTGGCCAGATCTCGGATGAAATAGAAAGGTTATGATAATGCTATGTCACGGGTCTATACTCGTATGAGTTCGTAGTAACGAACTGTCAGAAAGTTAAGCATTTGCTGTGCGATCAGGCGTTTTACGCATAAAACCTAACCTATAAAACGCATTAGCGTCAAATAACAATTTTATTATAAGTGCATCTTTTTGATGTCTCTTACGTGAAGTTAGGTTTTATGTGTAAATCGCCACAGCAAATACATAGCTTTTTGATAGTTTGTTACGAACAAATCATACGAATATAGATCCGTAACATAGCATTACTATAACATTTTTATTCTATCCGAGAATTGGTCCCATTATTAGATTTATAATATTATAATGTCGTAGTACGCCAAATAAAGGCTGTGCACACTTTTTTTAAATTGATCTGAAACAGTTTGTTTTTTAAATGATATGAAATAAGAACAAAAATATTATTCTTGATTACATTTTATTAGATTTAAATTTGAATGGTTCACAATCTTAAAACGTATCACATCTACATTAATAGTTGGACTATTTCAATAATACAGAATTTTATACTTGTAATACATATACATACATAAACACATACATGTTTACATACGTATATGTATTAGTTTGTAAATTTATATATACATGATATCAACATTTATAATTGATATTCACTTATAAGTTGTTCAGAATGTATTTTTGCACAAACATATATCGCATTAGTCGCTATAAGTATTCGTTGGTTACTTTGTCGTACAATTATTTTTTTTTTATTTTGGGTGTACACACATGCTGAAATTTATGCGTTAATAATAAATTTTAATTTACCATAGAAGGAAGCGTAGCATAGACAAGAAGAGTTAAATTAATTAGTTGTTGTGGATTGTCAACGTATTTTGAGTGCATATAGATAGGTATAAAGAATATTATATAAATATCGCTTGATTCCACAAGGACAACAATCAAGCTCTTTAAAGTTCTGTTTAAATATCACACAGTTGTACTATAAGTTTGTTGGAGGGATATGTATCAGAAACCGCATGCGCCTTTATGAATTTTTCAATTCAAAATAAGCGGAATGCTAGGTTTTATTTAAAATATAACACTGACAAATCCACAATTTGTTTATACATTTTAAACTCTAATCCTGGAGCTAACAGAAACTAATAAATGCAACGATGATATTGATGTGAAACCAACAATACAAAGACGGGTGCGCTGTCGTTAGCAGCTAGCACTAAGAAGGGTTTACTCGGTCATCATGGGCTCCCTCTTCTTGCGGCCGGGACCTCCGGCGTAGTTGGCGGCTGCCAAGCCCATCAAGTGCTTGGCGGCCTGCGAACCAGAATAGCCACGGCTCAAGCCCAGATCTAGTCCGCGTTTGGTACTGGAAACACAACATTCGTAGGAAATCAAGGGTAATAGAATAACAAGGTCTTAGAATAGATACATTTTTTATATTAAATTCAAGGTAAATTGTGCTATAAATTAAAACATTTACAAGCTACCTAGAAATTTACACATTTATGGGCCGATTCTGCCGTAAATTTGACCAATGTTATGGCAAGGCTATGTTAAGCCCTGTTCATACGACGCTTGTTTTCTGGGTTGGATAGCATGCTTGATTTTGTCGCGTTAAATTTCATGATAGTTTTTCAAGCTGTTCAAATCACACGATTCCAGCAAGCTTGCTTGCCTTGAGTGAGATTCGTTTTAGCTTGCTAGATATTCTAATAGGACAAACCACATGACAAAATATTGCTTTCCTATTGATTCGAACGAACGAATCCATCCACAAAAATAGCGCATGTTCAAAGTCCAAATCACTCGAGGCTTGTTAACTTCCCGCAGGGTAAGTAGGTAAGTTATTGATCGTCTAAAAATCGAAATTAAACATTTTTGCATTTCTCGACGTTTTGAAGGTTTCTGAACATTTTGGAATACCTCAGAAAAAATGGATGTGTGTGTGTATGTATGTATGGATACAATTGTTTGGTCACGTTTTCGGGCGCACGGATCGACCGGTTTGAATGGTTCAAAAACATTCGATTCGTGGAGCAGTTACGGAGATAAAGAGCAAAGAGTGCAGAAAATAGAAATCGAGTTTTTGAGTAAACGGAGCATCCCATTTAAATAATCTAAAAAACATTCAATTAGTAATGATTGGGAGAAGTGGTTATTAGTTTATGGCAAAGACAGGCCCAGCCATTTCGAAGATACAGAGCTAAATATGCAAAAATGGCAGTTTTTGAGGAAACTAAGCGTCCAATTTAAATGATTCAAAGAACTTTCTGCTTGTTTTTAAAAAAAATTTGGTTTTGGAAAAAAAAATTTGTTTCAAAATTTTTTTTTCAATTTTTTTTTGTCGGAAATAATTAAGATTTTATTTTTAATTCTGACTAAAGTTTTCATATACTTTAAACAAATAATTTTAACTTTGCAATTTAGTTTATATAATTCTTATAAATATTAGACAATGTTTCAATATTTATAGAAATCTATTTGAAAACATTCCATATTCCTCGAACATTTTGTTACGGTACGGGAAGTTTTAGCAATTTGCCTTAAAGCACGATGCCATACACCCCACTAGTTTCGTTACTTTTTGCTGTTTAGCATGCTAGTTGTCAAGTTGAAAAATGTCATCATGGAAAAGTTAAAAAGTGCACTATTTTTGTGGATGGATTTGTTTGTGCCAACCAATAGGGAGTCAGCATTTGATCATCTGATTTATAATATTTGATAATTTAGCAAGCTAAAACCAATCTCACTCATAAATCTATTAAGTCAAAACAAATCACACTCAAAAATCAAGCGAGCTAAAATAAACAAGCTTAAAAATTAAACATGTGTAGATGTTCTAAGGGAGAACAAACGATTTATTTCTAAACTGTCTTCTAAAAAATTTGTATCTCAGTATCTTTTACCCCTATGCCATTTTGTTCATATAGTATGGTTTTCGTAATTAGTTGCATTTGTCCTTAATAAATATGTTATTATAGTTTCTACTGAATTAAAATACTATGTTACTGGTGGTAGTCAATGAATTTAAAATTAATAAATAAATGAATATTCACTTTTCCTACACCAAGAATGGATACGTGAGTGTATGTTAAATTAAATGAATTATATTTTATAACTAAATATTATGGATAAATATACAAAAATAGTTCTTACTTTTCAAGATCGTGCGTTCGCATGATAGTTTGACCCAGCCTTGCAAGCATCTCCAAAACCACAGAAGGATCTGGCTCGCCATCCATGTCGGAATAGTAGTTCAGACGGCTGAAAATTAAATAAAAATCACATTATTAAGAACTTTTTTTAGTATTTGTAAAAATAAACATATATTGACATTTTACATTATTTGGCCCATTATGGACCATTTTTTTGGTAAAATAGATAATAACATAGCATTGTTATGGCAACGCTATGTTATGATTAGTTCTTGGTACTAAAAACTGTGAAAATTCTATGTATTTGCTGTGCAGTCCGGCATAATAGATATTAAACATGAAACTAGCTGTAAGTGGAATTCTGTCTTAAGGCAATTAGGGCATCGTGCCTTAAGGCAAATTGCTGGAACTTCCCGTACCAAAAATTATTATTTTTTTTAAAACGATTAACATTTTGAAAAATTTTACTTAAAAAAATAGATTTTTGAGAAATTATAAATTAGACAAAAAATTATTTTTTTTTTGAAAAAAAAAATTTTATTTGAAAAAAAAATTTTGAGAAAAAAATTTTTTTTTGAAAACAAAAAAATTTTTTCAATATTTTTGAAATTCTGAACTTTTTTTCAAAGCAATCGCACTGCTTGAACTGCATAGAGACGAAATGTCAAAGCTCGCAAGTGCCGCGCCGCCATCTAACGCATAAGCATTGGTACGGAACCCATAGAAATGTGAAAAAAATTTATACTTATTGTTAAAATCTCTATAAAATATCTGATAATTTGATGTGCGTATGTCTAATGATCATTTTTAACCGCCTAATAGCATTTTTTTTTACTTTTTTCATTAGATCTCCGAAACCGCTAGACCTGCCTTCATGAAAATTTGATCAATTCTACATCTTGTCAATACAAGTAAAATGTTGTTTGAATTATTCAAATCGGACGCTCCGTTCTCTTAAAAACGGAGGTACCGTTTTTGGCACTTTTTGCCCCGTATCTTCGGAACGGATAGACCTGCCTTTGCCAAAAACTAATCAGCACGTCTCCTTATCAATACGAATCGAATGTTTTTTGAATTATTCAAATCGCTTCATCCGTGTTCCCGAAATCGTCGACGAAAATTTGTATCCGCACATACATACACACACATACATACATACATACACACACACACACACACACACATACATCCATTTTTTCTAAGGTATGCCAAAATGTTCAGAAACCTCTGAAACGCAAAGATATATAAAAATTTTCATTTTCGATTTTTTTGCGATTACTATAACTTGCCCTACGGGAAGTTAAAAATGTGCAAAAAAAAAATTAATATTTTTTTTAAATCAGCTTAAAAATGTCAATATGTGTATTGTTAGTTTTTCGAAATATTTAATATTATTGCATTGCATTTCGAAATATTTAATATTAATTATGATTTTTGAGCTAAACGCTTCCTATAAAAAAAAGTCATTTATAAGTAATATCTACAATTCGGTAATGTGGATGTTACCTTCTTCAGGTACTGTTAAAACATACAAAAAATCTTTGTACATTTGTACAATTGTTTTAAATATTTACGATCTTGAAGGAATCACGTTTTATCATTGTGTGTGTTTGTGATTGTGTCTGTACCTCTGTTTGTGTGTGGGTGTGTTTTTGTATGTAA